AGCAGCAGGAACGCCAGGAAGGCCCCGGGCGGGGGCAGGGGGAGGGCAAGGAGGAGGAGGGAGACTCCCAGAAGCACGACGGACCCCGGCAGGAGGTGCAGGGGCTGCAGCCGGAGCCCCCCCACGACCCCCTGGCGGAACAGGGATGATCCCACAGCACTTGCTGCCATAAATCCTGAGAAGGCGATTCCCAGTGGGATCCCCAGCGGCTCCAGCACAGGCGTCCAGAGGAAGATGAAGATGAGGATGACGCCCTCCACCAGTGCCTGCACCATCCCCAGCAGTGCCCTGGGGGGGTCCCGCAGCCCCCGCAGCCCCTCCCCACACGCCTTGGGGCAGGAGCGGCGTTTTCCATAATTCTCATCCCAGTTTTTCATGGCAAAAATCCCAGAAAAGGCCAGGAAGGGCACAGCTGCCACAAAGGGGATCACGGGGCCCCCCCCCCAGCACCAGCAGCTCAGCCACAGCCCCTGCGGCCACAGCCACGACCCCGTTCCAAAGGGCCACGTGGGAGAAGGTGTCTGGGATCCACTCCCGGGGGAAATCGTGGCGCTCCAGGTGCTCGTGGACATACCAGGACTCGAAGGAGGTGAAGAGCAGGGAGGTGCCAACGCCCCCCAAAAGCCGCCCTGCCGCCAGCGCTGGGAAATCCCGGGAGAGCTGCAGGAGGCAGGACAGGGAACAGAGCACCGAGAACAGCACACAGGACCTTCTCCTGCCGAGCCGGTCCACGAAAAAGTGGGAGAAGAGCCCGAACACCAAGTTGGAGGCGAATCCCAGTGAGTAGAGGGCGGCGATCTGGGTCTGCAGGAAGCCCCGGCTGCGGAACACCTGGAACAGGTGAGGCCCCTGCAGCCAATCAGCTGCCAGGGCAGGCAGGAATCCCAGGTGGAAGAGCCGCTGGAATTCCTGGAATGCTGGGTTGGAGCTAGGGGGGCTCCGGGGAGGGAACTCCAGGAGCAGCAGCAGCAGCAGGAGGAGCAGGAGGGCACTGAGGGGCAGCAGGAGCATCGTGGGGAGGGGGGGGGATAAAGGGATAAAAGGGGGGAGAAGGGGCAGCCTGTGGGGGGAAAAGGTGGGTCAGTGATGGAAGGGGTTTGGGGGGCACTTAAAAGGACCTCCGAGGTGTGATGTGGGTGTTTAGCGATTCCCACCCCAGAGAAACCCCCCAGATGGGCTATAGACCCCAGACTCACACACACCCCACAGAGGGCTATAGGGACCCTCACCCCAAGGACACCCCACTGGGGGCTATGGGAAGCCCGACTCTCCAAACAGCCCCAAAGACTCCCACATCCTCCAAGAGCCCCCCTCACCTCCCCAGACCCTCCATAGCCCCCTCCCAGCTCCACAGCCCCCCCATAAGATCCCCATATGGCCCCACAGGACCCCCCATCAACCCCTCCCAGAGCCCTCCCGGTCCCATAGACGCCCCACAGGCTCCCCATAGACCCCTATAGACCCCCACACCCCTCACTGGACCGCCATAGGCCCCCCTCAGCCCCACAGAGGTCCCATAGGACCCTACAGACCCCCACAGGCCCCAACACAACCCTCCCATAGTCCCCACAGGACCATCCCAGACCCTCCTAGAGCCCTCCAACCCCACTGGCCTGTCATAGGACCCCCACAGACGCCCCATCCCTCTACCCCCCAGGATCCCCGGGGCCTCACCGAGGTCGCAGCGGCCGCGCGGCTCCTCCACGGACCCACTTCCGCTTCCGCCTCACCTATGGGCGCCGCCATATTGGCCCATGTCACGTGACATAGGAACACTGCCCCCTTAGGGGTCTGTAGGGGCCTCCCCGACTTCCCTTGGGGGGTTATAGAGACCCCCCCACCCCAAACGGACTCCTTCAGACACGCCCCAGACACCCCATGGGGAGGCTATGGCGTCTCTTTGGGGTGGGGGTCCTAATAGCTCCCACCATGGGGTGTCTGGGGGAGTCCCTTCGGGGTGGGGACCCCTACAACCCCCCCCAGGTGAGATGGTGACGTGTCTCCCCTATGCCGTCATAATGACGTCACACAGAGCCGCCGCGTGGGATCACTGGGAGGTCCCCGGGGTCACCCCCCCCGGGGTCACACACTCACGGCCCCAAACAAATACCCCCCTGCAACTGCCCCGACCACCCCACAGCTACCCCAACCCCGAGCAACTGCCCCAAACCTTGTGTAATTACCCCCGAGCAACTGCCCCAAATGCCCCAAATCCCCCCTGCGCAAATCCCTCCTGCAACTGCCCCAGTCCTTATGCAATTGCCCCAAAT